TTCATCACCAGTGGGAGCATCATGAAATTCTTCCCCCCCGATGGTCACGACTGAAGCTAACCTTGCGACCTGGGGTGTGCAGCGTGATCTCTTAGTGAAGCACTTCGGGCACGCGGGGCCGCCCGCCTGCGAACGTGTCATTCCTCTCACAGCGCTGGCACACAGAGCATCTGGTCCAGAGCTTAGCCATCCCGCGTGTTAGTCAGTGTCCTTTCGGGCCCGGTGGGAGGACAGAACAGTGTCCCTCAAGCGCGTCGGGGACGCGGTAGTCGGATCACCAGGACTACCCTGGCCCATTGGGGGCCGTGTGACCTCAAGCCAGAGTTGCTTGAGACTAGGAGCTGGAGGGGGACGACGACGAACATGAGAAGGAATGACTAGGAGAAGGAGGAGCAAGGGGAGAAAACAACTAAAGTGGATCAGCAGCAGACACCAGCAGCAGTCAATATCAGCAACCATCAGCATCCAACGGCAGATGCAAAGCGCACTTATTGTACGCTCTCCCACATCGCCCCTGCTTCATATGAGGAAGCAAGATTGAATGAATGGCGGGATGGGGAGGGGAGAAAGATGAAGGGTGAAACATTGAGAGGGAGGGGGGAAGGGGAGAGCGAGGGAGGATGGGGGAAAAAAAGGAAAGGCTCGAGGGGGGGGGGGTTCGCCATGGCCCTCGCCCACCATCCCTGCCCTCCGCCTCTCCTCCTCGCCCCTCCTCTGCGTCATCGTCATCGTCGTCGTCGTCTTCCCATCTCCTTCGTCCTACTTCTGATCCATAATCCAGCTTCGTGTTCCTCCCCTCCCTCACCTCCTCCGCTTCCTCTTCCTCCTCCTCCCCCTCCTCCTCCTCCTCCTCCTCCTCATCATCATCATCATCATCATCATCATCATCAACATCACCAACATCATCATCAACACCATCAATCATCATCAATCATCATCGTCATCATCAACCTCATCATCATCACCGTTACCATCATCACCACCACTATCATCACCATCAACATCACCACCACCTTAATCTTCATCTTCATCGTTATCGTCATCGTCATCGTCGCCATCATCATCATCATCATCATCATCATCATCATCACCATCGTCATCATCACCATCATCACCGTCACCATCCCGTTTCTCCTCTTCACCCTCCCAGTCCTCCTCCTTCCTGCTACTCCCCAGCCCCCCTCTTCCTCCCTCTTCTGCCTCCTCACCAGCTACTTCCCCCCCTCCCTTTTGGCTCGTCCTCCTCCCACTCGACACTGGACGCCGATGACTGCGCCGCCGCAAGACCGGAGGCACCCCACCCCCTCAGTCAGCCAGGCCAGGCGGCGGAAGCCAAAGCAGCCCCAGGGCAGCACGCACAAGCCAGCGGCGGCGATAACGGGGCCGACGCGCGCGACAACGCGGCACGACAACTGGGCCGCGAGAGGCCATCCCCTCCCCGGGCTTGCCCGCGGGGAGTCGCCTGGCCCGCCCGCTGTGGCCCGCTGCCTCACGTGCAGTCCTAGACCGAGGTCGGGCATGTCCTCCTACAGGCGGATGTTGGGCGAAAGCTCAGACATCGCATTATAACATACAGTCTCTATGTCTCTCTCTCTCTCTCTCCCTCTCTCTATATATATATATACACATTAAAAAACGAAATAAGTCAAAAACAGAAATAGTCGAAACGTCGCCCCGATGGTAGTTTTCGACCGTTTGTGAAAATTCCTCCTGTAGAGGGACACGCCCAACTTAATCCTAGACCCGCCCGCGTCCACGCGCCGCCCGTCCCCCGTCCCGCCCGTCGGGGTCCACCCACTCGCCCCGCTCGCTGGGGCCCGTCCGCCCTCGCGCCGCTGCAGCGCAACATGAAGCTTGAACCACCAGACGGCACGAGGCGCCAGTGGGTGGAAACTTCACTTACATACAGGCATTGCCCATCGGTCGGAAAGAAGTAGGTATAATCATGAAGTAGGAAGGCGTCAAAAATAGATTGGGTGTCCGCCCGCCCGAAGAGGACGGAACACGTGAAACCACTTGATCCTTGAAGCAGGAAGGCGCTTAACGTAGATTGGAATATGGGGCTCAAAAAATACCTACTTTCAAAGACCGATGGCTACCTTCTTCTAGACACTCCGCTGCAATGCCTCCACATTTCGGCAATACTGTGGCCAACTCAGACTTGGGGTGTGCCGACGTGGAATCTGACATCCGATGGATCGATTCGTCGCTGGATTGAGCGTCGGAGCAGTGGTCGGATTAGGCGTCGGAGAGTAGAATGGGGATCGCAAGCATGAAACGTGGGGTGGGAGACACACGAAACATAATCTTAGTAGCCAACGTCGGAAAAAAGCGTTGGAGAAACCTGAAATGCTGAAGCGTTGATGCACACGTGATTCACCCATTGCCGCATGCAACTGTCGTCCAAACGACTCGGCAGCGGTAGAAGTACAACGCGAACTGATGAGCTATGTGCAAACAACTGGGATCCTTCAACGTCGCGCGTGCTGGGGATCAAGAGCAGGAGCAGGTAATTACGACCAGATCACTGCACTGAGCATCTCCCCCTGCCCCTCCCACTGAGGGGGCACGATCCGGGAGAATCGGCTCAGGTGTGGAACCATCGACCTGGAATCGGCGATCCATCGTCGACGGACCGGCGATGGGCGCCCGAGACTGCGAACCAGAGTGCTCGTGGGCGGAGCGATGGGCCCTCGGGCCACACATCAGCGCTTGCCCAATGGGCGACTCGGGATCGACGCGCTTCTCGCCATAGCTCGGACGTCCACTCCCCGTGTTTTTTTTTCGGTTTCGTGCGTGGCTTTCTCGCCAGATGATCAAGGATGCTCCTCGATGGCCCTCGCCGAAGGAAAGATGCACACGTCCAAGCGATGCCAAGACTTCCCCCTGAGCCACTCCCCCCTGGTCGTGTGGGCTCGGGGTGGCCTTCGGGCCATGACCCGAGCCTCCGCGCGGCCGTGCGGGACGAGGCCGGCACTGCCCGAGCGCTCCCGCCGAGGCGCAGCTGATGGAGACCACCCCTGGGCCCCGAAACTCGTCAGGCTTCCGACGGCCCCGGGCCCCATCCGCCGAGAGCCTACAGGGCAGTTTGTAATACATTGGATTTTTTCTGAAATATATGATTTTTAAGACATGATCAATGTATGAAGAAATTTCTGCATGAACTCCTCGTTGTTTTTGATGCTAGGCCCTTTTATTTTTGATACCTGATCCGCACGCGGAGCATGTATAAAAAAAACGGCACTGTACCCCCCCCCCGAAACTCGGGAGAAGCAGGGCGGAGCCAACGACGGCAGCTCAAAACACGGGCCCTGGACCCTGTTTCTGGGAGGAGGAGGAGGAGGAGGAGGAGGAGGAGGAGGAGGAGGAGGGAGGAGGGAGGAGGGAGGAGGAGGAGGAGAAGGAGGAGGAGGAGGAGGAGGAGGAGGAGGGTCCAGACGCACATATCGGGAGCGGCCAAGAGGGGGGTGTCCAAGAGAGGGGGAGGTGCAAATCATGACCAGCGGCATGTGCGCGGCCCAGCGGGGGGGCCAGGGACGTAATTAATGAAACAAGAGGAGGCGCCATGAGATCTGGGGAAAGATCATGGCCCCCGCCATGACATCCCCCCCCCCCTAGTCATCACCCCCCTCTCTTCCGCCCCCGACACAGGCTTCCCGAGCTGCGCCCGGCCGTGGCGACCATGGGGGCCCCCCGAAGGCCAACCGCCGCTGCCTCAACTCTCCCCCCGCTGGACTAACTAGTGTTGTCCCTGGGCCCTCCCCGCCCCTCCCCTCCCAGACCCCCGACGCCACGACTTCTTCATGACGACGACCCCCGACCCTCCCCCCCCCTCCCCTCCCGGACCCCCGACGCCACGACTTCTTCGTAACGGCGACCCCCCGAGGTCTCGACCCCGTCCCCAGGACCGGTGCTTCTCCCCGAGTCGTGTTTGGACGCTCCCGAGACCCGGCAAGGGCCCCGGGAGGCCGAAAACGATGAAAAAACTTCCCGCCCTGACTTTTTCGCCCCAGTCGTTTTCTGACGGTCCCGAGGCCGAAAATGAGGGAAAACCTCCCGTTCTGTTGCTCCCATCGTGCTTAAGGACCACATCCCAGAAATAATGTCGAGCACCCGGACAGTGTCGAACGAGTGTCGAAACGGTGCTGGACGAGTGCCTCCAGGGCCCGACACGTGAAAGACCTAGAGTTTCGGTAAGTTTCTGGTGCTCGAAATTCTTTCTGGTGATCAAGGCTAAAGTACACGCTGGTCGGAAGAAGTGGGTTGAAACATGAAGTAGGAAGGCGTTGGAAATAGATTGGGCTTCCACCCGCCCCCTGAAGAGGAGGAAAGAAGGAACACCGCTCGACTTTTGAAGTAGGAAGGCGCCTAAAGTAGAGTAGGAATTGGGCATCCAAACATACCTACTTTCAACGACCGGCGTGTAGCTTGGAACATCATAACTTTGGAGTCCCGAAACGGTGTGGTGACGGACCGTGCGGTGACCTCGAAATACCCCAAGGCCGCAGCGCACGGTCCGTCACCGCACGGTCTTGGGACCCGGGAGGCCCCTGTCGCCCGAGACATCCTCAGAGAACGACCCGAGTCCCAAAACCGTGCGGTGACTCCGAATCCCCACCGACTCACCGCACGGTGTGGTCACCACCCCGTTTGGAGACCCCCGAATAACACTCGAGGGGGTCTGGGCTCCCCGCTGCAGCATCGTGCAGGATCTGGCACCCAAACCCGGGTCAATGCGACTCTGGCCGTGCAGGATCCTGCAAGATCGGGCGCTCTGGCTGACCCCCGTTTGCATTGACCCCCGTCTCAAGGTTCCCGAAAAAATATTGGCGGCGCGCACAAGGGGGTGGTGCTTCTAAGAAGCCCTCCCCCCTCCCCCCACCCCCCTCCGCGCGTGGCTGAAAATACCTTTTTTCAACGACCGGCGCGCAGCTTGGAACATCAAAACCCTCGAGGGGGCCTGGGCTCCGCGGCGCTCCCCCCGGCGGGGCGCCCGGGTCCTCCTCCTGGCGCTCCTTGCTCCGGCTCCTGCCGGGGCGGCCTCCGCCGCCGCCCTGGGCGGCGGGTGCCTCCTCGCGCCTCTTCTTGAGCGCCTGACTCGGGAGGGTGGGGGGTCGAGGAGGGCGGAGGGAAGGGAGG